CGTCGTGACTGCGCTTGCGAGTAGTTGTGTCCACAGTTCACCCTTATCTTTGAAATCCCTGCTTCTTCAAGATGCCTAATCAGGGATCCCAGGCCCTCGTACAATGCTGCAGGACCGTAGTACAATCATTTCCCTCAGCAAGGGCCGGCCTCCAACGTGCAGTATGCTGCCACTCAGCAGTATGGACCTCCTGGGACAAGCTCCCACAACCCGCCTACGTTCATCGGTTACGGATCAGCTCAAGCTCAAATGGCTTCCTTCAACTACGGGGGTCGCATCGTCGGCATCGGTCAGCGTCTCTCCATTTAGCCAGTGTTCCCCACAGCAGCCTGGTTCATTGATGCCATACTCACCAGCTGCCATGTATGGTCCTGGACCGTCCTCTGGTGTCCCCATTCATGGCAATGGTAAGTAGGATTTTTTTATCATCTGTGTTTGCTCACACTGGTTGCCTGGATTATTATAAATCTTCGTTGCCACAGGACCCCATTACTGGAACAACCCGCCTTCTGCTCAGTTTGGTGTCGGCCTTGGCTCACCCTCACCCTCTTCGACTGCAGCTGGTTAGTTATCAGTAACAGATACTTCAATTGTACTAATTCGTCTTAATCTACACGCTCGTTATCAATTGAATTTTTTTCCCCAGATCGTTCTGTGAGAAGGCCATCATCAGCACGTTCAACGGGAGGTAAAGGCAGAAGGCCAAGAGATGAAGGTGAACCCGCTAGTGGCCCCTTGACTACAGCTAAGCTTCCGGAAAGAACTGATCCAGACTATGATATCCATCCCAATGATGTGCTGTGCTGTGATAATTGTGGGTCATATATTGGTCGCTTTGATGTTATGCCATGTGGGCACTATGGTTTTTGCCACAGATGCCTCTCAAGTGAAAAGGGACAGGCTTCGAAGGCAAATCGTCCTGAAAAGTGTTTGGCTTGCAACAAAGTATCTTAGATGTATTCGTGCTACAGCTTTTGGTGATGCGCATTAAGTTGCGGTAGGTGCTTGCCTTTTTTATTTTAATGTATCTTCTTTTTAACTGTTTTTCTTTTTTTCCCTTTACTGTTTTGTCATAACTTTTCTTAAAAGTAATTTCTAGTTTAATTTGAAGCTTCAAGCTACTATTGTTTCGGGATTCTCCGTCCGAGTGGGGAAGAAAAGTTTCTCCTAAATTTTAATTCCTTTTTTGTCTTTCTTCCTGTTTAGTCGTCCCTTTGACTCGAACTGTATTTGTTCTATTGTTACTCATGTTGGTATGGTTGATCTACTTCGGCTTGTTCATTATGCCATATGAGTCACATGACATAGTTTTGTATTCTTTTGCTCTTGTTGTGCTGCTATATGCTTGTAGCTTGTGAGTATAGACTGAATTCGCTAAAGTGTTGTCATTTGCCTTAAATCGCGTGAATGGAGTAGCCTCTCCTAAATTTTAATTCCTTTTCTCAGTGTTTAATCTTCCCTTTGTCTCGAACTGTATTTGTTCTATTGTTATTCATGTTTGTATATGGCTGATCTACTCCAGCTTGTTCATTTTGCCATATGGGTCACATGACATAGTTTTGTATTGTTTTGCTCTTGTTGTGCTGCTATATGCTTTAGCTTGTGAGTTTAGACTGAATTCGCTAAAGTGTTGTCACTTGGCTTAAATCGTGTGAATGGAGTAGCCTCTCCTAAATTTTAATTCCTATTTTCAGTGTTTAGTTGACCTTTGTCTCGAACTGTATTTGTTCTATTGTTATTCATGTTGGTATGGTTGTTCCAGCTTGTTCATTTTGCCACATTGGTCACATGACATAGTTTTGAATTCTTTTGCTCTTGTGCTGCTATATGCTGTAGCTTGTGAGTTTAGACTGAATTCGCTAAAGTGTTGTCACTTGGCTTAAATCGTGTGAATGGAGTAGCCTCTCCTAAATTTTAATTCCTATTTTCAGTGTTTAGTTGACCTTTGTCTCGAACTGTTTTTGTTCTATTGTTATTCATGTTGGTATGGTTGATCTACTTCCAGCTTGTTCATTTTGCCATATGGGTCACATGACATAGTTTTGTACTCTTTTGCTCTTGTTGTGCTGCTATATGCTGTAGCTTGTGAGTTTAGACTGAATTCGCTAAAGTGTTGTCACTTGGCTTAAATCGTGTGAATGGAGTAGCCTATATCTGACCTGGGATTGTCCGCTTTGTATGTTACTCCACTCCCCTTTAAGACTTGTGTTGATATTGAATGCCGTACAATGGCTTTTCTTAGGATTTATAATTGAATTCCATTTTTTTTTTTAAATTAACATCTTGTTTGTACATTATCTTTTTTCAAGTTACCCATAGTTCCTCTGGGTAGTAACTTTTTCCCTCTTTGGTTCAATAATTTTAATTGATCATGTTCATTGTAAGTACTTAACTATAGTTAAGTTTGTCTGCTTATAAATTTGTCTTAAGGACTAAGTTCTTGGTTTACTTATTTTATTTAATCATATGTTAAGTCTCCTTTTGCAGTATCATAACCTGTGCTGCTATGAATGCTTTATATGCAAGTGCTTTATATAATTTGTGTTGTACATATGTTGAAGTTTCCACAAGTCAAGTTCTATTAAAGATTATACATCTTTGCATTGCAAAATTACACTGTCTTCATTTACTTGGATCAATTTGACACTCAGCTTTACCTCCTGGAGGCTCTTTAAACAGGAATTGGGAAGACCACAGAGTCACCAAACCATTTTAATGTAATATAACAAAAAACTGAACAATCTCAGTTACCTTATCAAACCCATGATGTTATGCCAATGAATTTAAAATCTGGAATGCTTAGTCGGGTTCTGGTCCCATTGGACTTCCACCGTCATTTCATGTGGCGGATATCAACTCAAGTTGAATTGCTATCTGGTGTGGTCGAATGACTGTACAAAAGAGAATAAGTTGTCACGTTATATTTGTAGAGAGTGTCCAAAGGTGCATTTATGCTTGTATTGAAAAAAAAAACAGATAGGTGTATCAGTATAGGACACATGAATGAAGAATCATGCAAGTTTAGTTATGACTTTTTTTTTTTTTTCATTGCTTGATGTATTCAGGAAAATTTTGACAAAGGGGCGTTTGTCCACAATTTGGTCAAATTGAGTTTTTTCGGGCATATGGTTCCTTATTATGTGTTACACATGCAGAACCAAACGGCACATCAATATCTACAATAGGTCCTGAGATATACTAATAGCTCAATATGGCATATGTCCATCTACTATGTGACAAAGAGGCGAATGTCCACAGAAATTTGGACAAAAGGGCGTATGTCCAAGAACATTTTGACAGAGAGGCGTATGTCCAAGGAACACTTTGACAAAGAGGCGAATGTCCACATAAATTTTGACAAAGAGGCGAATGTCCACATAAATTTTGACAGTGTGGCGAATGTCAAAGAAACATGATAAAATGCAACATTTGTTCATTCACCACCACCAAGGGGAAATAGGCTCCAAAAATTTGTACACCCGAAGTCGAAGTTCATGAACTTCGGCCGAAGTTCACCGAAGTTCGCTCTGTAAAATTTTATCGAAGTTCAGTGAAATCCTCCGAAGTTCGCCGAAATCCATCGAAGTTCACGGAGTTCACCGAAGTTCAAAATAAGCGTCAAAGTTCCTCGAAGTTCAAAATAAATGTTGAAGTTCCCCAAAGTTCAAAATAAATGTCGAAGTTCCCCGAAGTTCAAAATAAATCTGAGAAGTTCACTGAAGTTCGGCTGCACTTGGTCACTTTTGAGTGCTTACTATAAGCGAGTCTCGAGCTTACTTAAAGCAGGTATCTACGGTCCGAATTAGAAAGATTACAGAGGAACAATTTTGCTTTCATATCTCTTGACCAGGTCGAAGTGCGAGAACTTCGGTCGAAGTTCCGCGAAGTTCACCGAAGTTCTCGAAGTTCGACGAAGTTCAAGGAAACGTACACCGAAGTTCAAGCCTATTTCCCCTTGACCACCACTAAAGACATGGTATGCATTATCAAAACCAGACAAAATACATTCTAATCATGTTTCTTTGACATTCGCCACTCTGTCAAAATTTATGTGGACATTCGCCTCTTTGTCAAAATTTATGTGGACATTCGCCTCTTTGTCAAAATTTCTGTGGACATTCGCCTCTTTGTCAAAATTTCTGTGGACATACGCCTCTCTGTCAAAATGTTCTTGGACATACGCCCCTTTGTCAAAATTTCTGTGGACATTCGCCTCTTTGTCACATTTTATTTCTGTTGAAAATTGGCGAATGTCCCCTCCCTCCTCTCCTATGCATGATAATCACACTAGGTGAATTACAAAATGTGACATAACAAAAAGAATATAATACATAAAATTTGAAGCTCTTGGTAAACATGTCTAGCTTGCAGATCAATTAGTAGCCTATTTTGCTCTCTACTGGAGAACTAAGGTCATTGGACATACGCCCCTTTGTCAAAATGTTCCTGGTATCACACAACCAGAATATCATCTATGCAAAACAAGTGAACAGAATTCATTGTTTAAACAGTATTACTTTTCACCAGACTATAGACATGTGACTTAATTCCCTTAAAATGTAAACCAAAGTTTTGCTGCTGACCTGTGATTTTTCAAAGAGACCCTATTCTACACTATTTCTAATCTGTAGTAACAAAACATAATAGTTAACTAGCTATATGTACGCCAGACCACGTCTCGCGTAACAGGCTTCGCGATATCTCACGAAACACTGTTACGCTGCGACGCGCCTGGCGCACATATAGGTAGGCCTGCGGCGCTGACACCCGAGACGAGTTGAGGAGAGGGTATAGGGGAAAAGGGCCTTCCGGGCCCAAAATTTGATATACTCGAACCATTTGTCGCGGTCGTATTACTCTAAAATTAGGGATATGAAACTTCTGCCGTTCTATGACAGGTTTCATTAAAAGTTCGAATTTTGTCAGATTGTTATGTAAAAATCAACGTTTTCGAGATACTAGATAATCTAGGGAGCCTTAAGCCCTAAAGAGGGTGTGATTCGACCCGTAATGTGTAGTTTCAGTATTACTCCCTTCACAATTCTGTGACATGAAGCCTTTTTTACGATTTATTAGACCATTTTGTCTTTTTCAAGTTGTTTTCGCCAAGAAATGCCCCATAGTGCCAAAACGGTACAAGATAAAGCAAAACGGACGACATTTTCCCGCAGAGGATTCTATTTTCACGAGTTACC